TATTTTTTAAAGTTCCTGATACTTTTTGTTCTGTGTAATAATTATATACCAGGGAGGTGGGAATAAGGTAGAAGCATAATTAATAATGATAAATTTTTAAAACTGAATGCTAACAAAAATAGCATCTAACCTATTTCTTAAGCACTTGACACAGGCATGTTCCTGGACTCTGGGACTCTGTACATACAACCTCATTTAACCCCTGTGATAACCAGTGAGGTAGACATTTCTATCCTCAGCCCCTCTTCAGGCCTGGAAATGTGGGTTAAAGCAGTTTAATTTGTCTGTGAGGGTGGTACATTCCTGTAATGTCAGTGCTCAGGAGGTGGAGGCAAAAATTCAAGGCTTTCACTGTGGAAATCAGTATGGCAACTCCTCAAGAAAATGGGAATGAGTCTACCACAAGATCCAGCAATTCCACTCCTAGGCATATACCCAAAAGAAGCACATTCATACAACAAGGACATCTGTTCAACTATGTTCATAGCAGCACTATCTGTAATAGCCAGAAACTGGAAGCAGCCTAGGTGCTCCCTCAAGAATGGATGGAGAAAATGTGGTACATTTACACAATGGAGTACTACTCAGCAGAATGGAATCTTGAAATTTGCAGGAAAATGGATGGAACTCGAAGAAACCATTCTGAGAGAGGTAACCCAGTCACAAAAAGACAAACATGATATGTCCTCACTCACATATGGATTTTAAACAAAGAGTAAGAGATTACCAGCCTACAATCCATGCTGCCAGAGAAGGCCCTAAAAGAGACAAACTTTGTCCCCTGGAGAAGGGGAAAGGGTCACCATCCCCTGAGCAAATTTAGAACATGGGGAGAGAGGGGAGGAAGCTACAAGAGTGAGAAGGGAAGAAAAGGAAGGATGCAGAGGTCATGAGGAAACAGAAAGGTTGAGTCAGGTGTGGATTAGAAGAAAGGACATATGATAGGATTTTAGTTGGGGGGTAGCTTTCCTCAGCTACAAAGTGATTTGGGGGCTAGCCTGGACTACCTAACATGTGTCTCAAAACAACCAAAGTGGGATTGAACCTGAATTTTCTAGGGCCACATAGTGACATGGTGACAGAATCTGGGAGCTTTTATGAGTCCATTCTGCATGTATTTGTGCTGTAATTTTTTGAATGGTCTTTTCTCTGGCTCTGGGTTTTTTTGCTGTTTTGATTGAATGACCTAATCTCTTTTTCTGTCTATCCTGCCGCTCTGTTTGTTTGCCAAGGCTGGGAACTGTCAATTTTCTCTTCCCTTTAAGAGAGTAGAAATAAATATCGGTGGAGTTTGTGAAAACATAGCTAAATAGGTAGAGTGGACATGGATGACTGAAAATGAATTTTTAAAATGAAACAACCGAGAAAGCAGACAAAATTGCTTTCAAAATGCAAGGGAAATGGGCAACTCTCCCCAGGGCGCACCGACCTTATCAAGCCTTGGACTGATGGCTGTAAACATGCATTTCCAGTCAGATTCCTTTCTGCTGATGTTTGTGGAATGTAGAGAAGCTTGGAACAACTTTGCCTGGTAAATGCATAATTGCTGGGAAACTGTTTCTAAATTAAAAGTCTGACTGGAAGGCAGTAAGTAGAGAAAGAAGTAAAACCTAAAATAACGCAGGCTGCGTTGATGGTTCACAGGTTAATAGTGATATGTAAAGAAAAGAGGGCTGCTTCTCTGATAATGAGATTGATGACTACCTAGTGCCTTCAGCCAGCAGTTGATGGAAACAGAAGCAGACACCCACAGCTAACTAAACACTGATCTGAACCCTGGAACCCAGTTGCAGAGAGTGAGGAGTGATGAGCAAAGGGGTCAAGACCAGGCTGGAGAAACCCACAGAAACAGCTGACCTGAACAAGGGGTTGCTCATGGACCCCAGACTGATAGCTGGGAAATCAGCATAGGACTGTTCCAGACCCCCTGAAAGAGGATGTCAGTTTGGAGGTCTGGTTAATCTATGGGGCCTCTGTTAGTGGATCAGTATTTATCCCTAGTACATGAATGGACTTTGGGAACCCATTCCACATAGAGGGATACTCTCTCAGCCTAGATACATAGGAGAGGGCCTAGGCCCTGCTCCAAATGAGACTTTGAAGATTCCCCCCCATGGAAGGCCTCACCTTCCCTGGGGAGCAGAAAGGGGATGGGATAGGGGTTGGTGGTGGGCAGGGGAGGAGGGGAGGGTGAGGGAACTGGGATTGACATGTAAATGAAGCTTGTTTCTAATTTAAATTAAAAAAGAAAAAAGAAAAGGGGGCTGAAATTCTGTTTGAACATTGTGTGTGCACTCACACATATGTGTATTGTGTCTCAAGTGTGCATGTGTGTGCACACACGTGTGAGAGAGAGCACTCTAGCATGTATGTGTGTACATATATGAGAGAGATCACTCTAGCATATATGTGTGTGCATATATCTGGGAGGCCAAAGGTCAATGTTATGGCTTCCTCAGGAACCTTCTGCCTTGTGTTTTAAAAACAGGATCCCTCACTGGCCTGGAACTCAACAAGGCTAGGCCAGCCGACCAGTGAGAAGCAGTGTGTCTCCAGGACTGGGATTACAAGCATGCACAGCTCTTCGACATGGGTTCTAGGGATCAGACTTGAGCCTTCATTCTTGCAGGAGAACTACTTTGCCAACTGAGCCATCTCCCTGGTCCCCAACCAACATTTTTTTAAAGAAGTACTTAATTTTTAAATATATGTATGTGTGTGTATCTGTGTGGGGATATGTGTGGTGATATATTGTTTACAATTTATTAAAGCTTGCCTGAGGATTAAGAAAACAAAGCCAGCCTCAAGCTATAGAGATCAGTCAGTGGTGGTACACACCTTTAATCCCAGGACTCAGGAAAAAGGCAGATGGATCTCTGAGTCCAAGAACCCCCTGGGCTACCAGAGAGTGAATCAGAGCTCATGCCTTTAATCTCAGGATTTGAGACGTATAAAAGGTAGAGGCATTCAGTCTGAGAGTTAGTCTCTAGCCACATTGAGGAGACCTTACCAGTCTGAGTGAATCTCTGGAGCAGTGAAGTTGGGAGCAATTTGAGGATAACCCCTTTGGTCTGAGCTGAGGTAGACAGAGTTAAGAGCTAGTGGTTGGCTGCTTTGCTTTTCTGATCTTCATCTTGAAGCTTGAACCTCACTATCTGTCTCTGGGCCTTTTATTTTTTGTGCTGCAAGTATGCGCACATGAGTGCGGGTACCCTAGAAGGCCTGAGAGATAGATTCCCCTGAGCTGCAGTTACAGGTAAGCTGTTCCACTTAGGCGCTGGAAACTAAACTCTGGCCCTATGGAAGAGCAGGACCAGCCTTCACCACCGAGCCATTTCTTCACCTCCTTTCTGAAGTTCCAGCTTTACTGAAACGTAACTACATAAAGGTTCATAACTGCAGAATTGAAGTTCTGAAATTTTATTTACCCATGCAATAGCAACACAACCAAGAAGGTGACTGACATGGAAAGTGGTAAGATAGTAAACATTTTATAGTTCCAGAAAGTTCCATGGTACTTTTTGGAAATCAGCCTCAGCTACCAAAGCCAACCCAAGGTTGTATTTATCTATTCTATAATTTTGTATAAATATGTACTTTTTGGTATCTTGTTTCCTTTCCCTCGGTAAAATGTTTTGTTGTATTTTATGTGTGGATGTTTTGCCTGTATGCGTGTCTACACCACATGCATGCAGTGCCCTCTGTCCTCTTGAAGAGCAACTAGTGCTCTTAACCACTGAGGCATCTCTCCAGGCCCAGTGAGATATTTTTGAGTTCTACCCACCTCTCTATTTGAAGGAACAGTATTTCTGGTTTATTCACTGGTGTGCCTGTCAGATTATCAAACAGTGTTCAGCTGCAGGAATGTCCTGGTTATAGCACCAATGGCACTCCATCATAGGAACACACACACCACAGTGTGCTGGCCCATCTGCTTCTGCTGGGTACCAGGATTATCTCCATATTTTCTATTTGGAACAAAACACTAGGTGGTCAGCTGACAGGTCTGGGAGGCCGTCACCACTATAGTGGTAGGTGTTCACTTCTTTATGTGGTGCAGATGGAGGGGCTACACACTTGCCTTAGTCTGGGTGTCTCATAAGTTCTTGAGCTTCATTTTCTTGATATGATTTTAATATGCCCACTAGGTCTGATGTACTTGATAGGTTGATATCATCCACTTCCACTTTTAGGGATAAACTGGTTATCCATCTGTGCCACAAGGTGGTGCTAGACCAATTGTGCCTTTGATAATGCCCATCCAAGTGCACAGCCATCCTTTATCCCCAAAATGGAGTTGAATGGAGTCTCACTAAAGAGGTGTAGGGCTGAACAACAATGAGAGAGTCCAGGTGTGGCTGTTTGAATGAGAATGGCCCCCATGTACTCATATATTTGAATGCTTGGGCCACAGTTGGTGGAACTGTCTGGGAAAGATTAGGAGGTGTGGCTTTGTTGGAGGAGGTTTGGGGGTGGGCCATGTCATTTGTTATCACCCCTCCCCCTTATACTTGTTGACCAGTTGTGAGATCTCAGCTACTGCACCAGCACCATGCCTACCTGCTGCCATGCTCCTCACCATGGTCAGGAACTGTGAGCCCTAAATTAAATGCTTCCTTTTCTAAGTTGCCTTGGTCATGGTGCTTTGTCACAGCAATTTAAAAGTAACTAAGATACCAGGACACGTTAGAATGGATTAGTCCAAAAACCTGGCAACACCAAATGCTAGTGAAGACCGAAGCAGCGGGAACTCTTGGATTTTCCAGACAGGATTTCTCTGTGTAGCCCTAGCTGTCCTGAACTCACTCTGTAGACCAGACTGGCCTTGATCTCACAGAGATCTGCCTGCCTCTGCCTCCCAAGGGCTAGGATTAAAGGCATGCACCACCACTGCCCAGCTGCATGAGGAACTCTTATTCATGTGAATGAGCATGCAAAATGCAAAATAGAGAGTCCATTCAGAAAACAGATAAACACAAGATTACCATACAAGCCAGAAATCACACTCCTAAGTATTTATACCGAAATGACTTGAAAACACATTCACAGGAGGAAATGTTTACAATAGCTTGATTCTCAGTTGCTCCAAACTGGAAGCCATCAAGATGTCCTTCAAAAGATGAGTGAATTGATGAAGTGTGGAATGTCCTATCCAAGAATGGATTACTGGATTGTGCCTCTCCATACCAATCCACATGCTTAAATCTGAATCCCTCTCTTCATGTGACTGTGTAAAGATGAAGACAAAGTTATAAACATATATGTACCTAACAACAAAGCTTTAAGAGATATAAAGCAAAACTGACAGAATTCAGAGAGATCAGTTATATTCATCCATGTATTAAACTGAGGAGGCTGGAATCTTTACCATTTACAATCTTTTTATCCATGAACATCTTATGTTTATTTAGATCTTTGTCTCATTGAAAGAGACAAAGTTCAGCAATACATCTTGCACATACTTTTTTTAGCATTATCCATAACCTTTCAGGGTGGTTTTTTTTTTTCCTGGTGTTTTGTTGCTTTTCATTGTTGTTTGCTATTTTAAGTGGTACATTTTAAAATCCTCAATTTTCACTTGTTTATTTCTACTTATAAAAATACAATTGATTTTTGTATTGATCATATATCCTGCAGCCTTGCTTAACTCACTTATAAATTCTCAGGACTTTTAAAAACAGCATTATTAAGATATAAATCACACAACATATCACCTACCCACTTAAAGTCCACTGTTTGTTGATTTTTAGTGTACTCCAGGCTCCAAGCACATCACCACAATGGGTTTGGGATGTTTTCGTCATCTCTGCAAAAAGCCTTCATATACCATCTGCCCATTTAGAGTATTCGAGTATATTTTCAGACATCTGCAAACATCAGCCACTTTAGAATATTTCACCACCCAGTAAAAGACCTTCATCTCCATCCCTTAGGTCATTTCTCATTTCCCCCAGCCTAGTTCTGAGGCTAAAGCTTGTGAGCCTTCTGTTTGCATAGATTGCTCTGTTCTAGATGCTATGGTAGGTTGTTGGATTAGTGATGTTCTCATGGGACCCTCATTTCCTTGAGAATGACTTGCTATAAGAGCAGCAATATTGAGTTCAATTCCCAGCACATACATGGTGGCTCCCAATTGTCTATTATGGGATCTGATGCCCTCCTCTGGTGAGCAGATGTACATGAAACAAACAAAACAAACATAAAAACATAAATAAACCTTAAAAAAAAAAAAGCCGTACAGTGGTTGTGCATGCCTTTAATCCCAGCACTTGCAGGCAGATCTCTGTAAGTTGGAGGCCAGCCTGGTCTACAGAGAGAGAGAGAGAAGATTGAACTTTAAAAAAAATAATTTAAAAAGAAGAGGATCAATCCTTGCCCCTTCCTCATCTCTGAGGCCATTTCTTCATGCCTTCCCTTGTTCCTTCATGTTCTCACACACCACTCTGATGCCAGCAGGTGTGGCACCGGCACCAGGTGCTACACCTTGCTCCTGAGGAGTTTCCCAGGCAGTTTTGAAAACAGGACTATGGTTTCTTTCCCATTTGTGGCTGTGAGTGTCCCTCTAAGCAGAGCTCTTCTTGCATCCTATGTTTTGGCATGTCATCATTTCCTTTTAATTTACTTCAAGTATTCTACATTCACATATCATTTCTTCTTTGTCCCTTTGCTTGATCCCCAAATACTTGTGGGATTTCCAGCCTTCTTTCTGTTGTTAATTTGTAGTTTCGTTGTATTTGGGTTGGAGAATATATTCCTGTGGCCTAACACATGCTCCTTTGTGAGGTTCCCTGTTTATGTGAGAAACATGTCTATTTTGAGTTGCTGGGTGACGGTTTCCATGTAAGTCAGCCATGTGTAGTAAGTATATGGTGTTAACATATTCTGTGTCCTATGCATTTCTGAAAGCGAGATATTGAAGTCTCCAGTCCTCATCACTGTAGGACTAATGTCACAGACTGAATCCCCGTGTTGAAGTCAACCTTACTTTCTCTTCCTATTGCTGAGGTAAATTGACCTAGACAACAGCGCCATTCCCTGCTTTGGGGGCCCCCGGCGGCACAACAGCAGAGAAAGCTAGCTAAGCACTGAGCATGCGCACATTCATTTCCCTTCCCTTGATGGCGGCTGTAGCCAGCCGTTTCAAGCTCCTGCCTCAACTTCCTTACAATGGTGGAAGAACCTGGAATCATGAGCTAAAATAACCCTCTACTCTAAGTTGCTGCTTATCAGGGTATTTTCTAACATCGACAGAAACAAAACTAGGGTTCTTTTCTTACATTCTTATTTTTTTTTTAAAGATTTATTTATTATGTATACAGTGCATGCCAGAAGAGGGCACCAGATCATATTACAGATGGTTGTGAGCCACCATGTGGTTGCTGGGAATTGAACTGAGAACCTCTGGAAGAACAGTAAGTGATCTTAAACCCTGAGCCATCTCTCCAGCCCCCTTTTCTTACATTCTTTATCATGGCTGACTGGGATTTAATTTCCCATGGATCCCATTCTATTTTAATAATCAGAATTTTTCTTCCTTATAAAAATCTTGGTGGCAAAGCAGACATTTTACTTTTAGTTAATACCACAAAATATGAATAATTCGCAAATAGACACTTTCTTGAGTGACTAGAGATCTAAATGGAATTAAATTCTCTTGTTTAATGTTAAAATACTATTCTGCCAAACAATTCTGCAAAGACAGGAAATATGAAAAGTAATTGGATCTCAATTATCTGGCCTAGTCGTCTTATTTTATATAAACATTTGCTGTTTCTAAAGAGTGAAATGTTCCTTCTAAAGTTATCTGGCTAACACACATTTTTAGTATTCACATGAACGGTCTGTCCATTTTCCCATTTATTTAAATAGTTGAAAGGTAACTATTATTTTCACACAGAAAGTAACAGCTTTCAATTACCATTAATTATTGAGCCATTTTATTCCAGCATGATAAGCGTTAGTGTGTCCACCAACCAATGGGGATAATTGCTTCAAATGAAGCACAAAAGAAAATTTCTACGCTTTTCTATGTTTAAAAAACAAATGATCAGCTATTAAGATACTTCCAAATGACCAGTTTGTATTCCTGGTGTAATTAGATTGTTCAAATAGGGTCTCCTAATTGGGCATGGTAGTGCATCTCTGTCCCACCAGCACTGGGGAGCCTGGGGCAGAAGAATCCCTGTGAGTTTGAGACCATTTGGGCTACATAGTGAGGCACTATCTTTAAAAAAAAAAAAAAAAAAAAAAAAAAAAAAAAAAAAAAAACAGGGCTGGCAAGATGACTCGATGAGTAAAGACAACTGCCATCAATCCTTGACTGTCCAAATTTTATCCCTAAGACCCATATGGTGGAAGGCTAGCACCAACTCCCATAAGTTGTCCTCTGGCCTTCACAGGCCCCCTACCCTCATATGTACACAAAACCAACAAGTTACATGCTATAAACCTACGTAAAAAGCAACTAAGGCTGAGTGTGGTGATGTAGACCAGCAACCTTAGTGCTCAAGGGGATCAGTCAGGATGATTATCCTGAGTTTGAAGATAGCCAATGCAACACTGAGTTCTGGGCAAGCCTGAGATGTACAGAGAGAGAGCTCCTATGTCAAAAGTGTGTGTGTGTGTGTGTCTGTGTCTGTGTGTGTGTGTGTCTGTGTGTGTGTGTGTGTGTGTGTGTGTGTGTGTGTGTGTGTGTGTGTGTGTCTGTGTGTGTGTGTGTGTGTGCATGTGTGTGTATCTGAGGTTGTATATGTATGTATAAGTGAGTATGCATTTGTGTGTATATGTGTATGTATATGTATGTGTATATACATGAGTGTGCATCTGTGTGCATATGTGAGTGTGTCTCTGTGTGTATGTGTATGTATATGTGTGTGTGAGGTTGTGTATGTGTGTATATATGAGTGTGCACCTGTGTGTGTGTGTGTGTGTTATGTTCCTTTCATGATCACAGGACCATTGACTGTTCCCAGTTTCAGGTATTTCACAAATGACACCACTATAGGCATTCAACTATCTGATCTCCCAATGGCTGAAACTTAGGTGCTGTGATTTGAATATGACTTGTGTTCCCAGAGTCCATTGAAATTAAACCCTGGATCCTAGGGGTGGTGCTGATGGGAGGTGGTGGATTTGTGGACATAGTAGGTCCTTAGAGCACTATAAGCCAGATGTCATTTCTGTGAAGTGCTTTGAGTTCTTGAAAGAGAATTCTTACAAAAGAAGTGTTAGCCTGACCTGTTGGCACACACTTCTCCTAGCACTAAACAGGCAGAGAGAGGCATGTGGGTCACTATGAATTCCAGATCGACTTAATCTACATAAAGACCAGGGTTACATAGTGAAACCTTTCTCAAGCAAGCAAGCAAGCCTAACCCTGCTCACACCATCTCTCTGCTCCCATTTCAGGGCTACTCCTAGGATGCACCCCCACCTTGCCACTTGTTCAGTCAGCCACTAAGCCTCCATTGAACACCTTAAGGCAGACTCTATGCTAGGTACTGGGGACCCTGTGGCAAACAAACAGAGTCTCATTCCACTCTAGAACATGGAACACATCTGACTGCATGATTAACCAACCTGTGCCCACACTCTCCACCTTATAACTGTACCATCCTCCCATTTAGACTCTCGATCACCTTCAGGAATTGCTCTGGCCAGCAGAATAAGAAGCATAAGGAGGCCCAAAGCGTTAGGGAGTTTAAAAGCATACTTAGGCTCTGGGAAGCATCTAAGAGCCATGAGGGGTATATGGGAGGTTTGAAAGGAGGAAAGGGAAGGGGGTAATTACATTATAGTCTCAAAAATAAAATAAATATAATTTAAAAGACAGAATGAAAGAAAAAGGAACATTTACAGCACCTCTCTGGGTCAGAACTCAGAGAGGCAAGCAGACCCCATGGAACTTCATGGTGCCACAGCTGGCAGGGACTGCACTTGGGGGAAGAGTTTCTGGAAAAGAAAGGCGCATGATCTTAAAGTGAACCTGCCTCCCTGAGGGTACTCATCTAGCCAGTACCTTGGACTGTGCCACTGGGTTAACCCTTAAAGGAAAAAGGCAAGAAAGTGTCTACATCTAGAGATGGATTCAATTCCTCATAGTCACAGATACTACAAGAAGTAAACTACTTGGTGCAAACCTCCAGTGGAGGCCCAGGAACTGGGGAAGACAAGGGCATGCTGGGATGAGTCAGCAGGCAGGTCACTCCGGAGAACCCCAGCTGCAGGAGCAGATTGCCTTGGTGGGTGGTACTGTTGTAGTCGTTATAAAGATATGAAACTGAGTCTCAGGCAACCTGCTGCAATTTCAATTGCTTAGAAACAGAAATAGAGACAGTTTATTAAGTGGGGTATTTAAGGTTTTTATTTTTAAGTGTGGGGAGGTGCACATGAATACAGGTGCCCACATAGGCCAGAAGATCCCTGGGTGCTGGAGTTGCAGTCTGTTGTAAACCACCAGACATGGGTGCTGGGAACCCAACCCAGGTCTTCTGCAAGAGCAGTATATGCCTGACCTGCTGAGTCCCTGGAGTTCGTTAACTTGTAGGTGGATCCCTTACACTTATCATCTACCTCCACTCTTGGGTGTCCTCTGGCATGAGTGTCACCTCTGTACCTTTGTCTCCAAACCTGCAGCACCTTATAAGGACACCAGTCATGAGATTTAGGGCCTGCCTTGAACTGGCATGTGTTCCTTTTAATTCAGTCAGCCACAGCTGTAGAAAGCCTATTTCTGCTCCCATTCCAAGGTGTGGGTAGGAATCCAGGGTTAGGTGTTATTCAGCCCTGTACACCTATGCTGTGCTAAGCAAGCTACATGCTGTAAGAGATACCAAAGCTGTGTCAGTCTGAAA